CCAGATTTGAGCTCAGGAAGAGAAGTCTTCTGACTCCAGGCCTCTCACTCTATCCACTGTGCTACTCAGCTGCAAAATAAATGCAAGGTATTTATAATTACTAATATTTATGATAAATGTGTTTATAAATAATAAAATATATTATTTATAAATATATAGTATAATCTATATATTATATATAGTATAATAATATAAAATAGAGTACATAAATACAGGGTATTGGGAGGCATGTACTAGTAGCATCTGGAAAGGCTACATATAGGAGGTGGTAAGTATTTCGAGGGGATAAAAGCTATGTTTTCAAAAGAACAAGGGATTCTACGAGATCTTGATGAGGAAGGAGTCCATATTAGGCAACGGGAGGCAGCCTATACAAAGTTTTGGGGAAGGAAATGAGAAACAGCAAGAAGGCTGTTTAGCCTGTACCATTAGGGTGCTCAAAGGGGGCAAGGGTTGATGTGTAATACGGCTGGAAAGGTGGGTTGGAGCCAAGCTGTGAAGGACTCTTTTGGGGTTTTTTTTTGTTTTTTTTAGGCAATTGGGGTTAAGTGACTTGTGAAGGACTCTTAAGGTACAGCTTCCTCCTCCACTTCTCTGCTAGTCCTCTGGGGTCTTGACATCATAGAAAGCTCCTTAAACTCTGCCCAGACAGCCCCAAGCAGTCTTCCTTCTTAGTCTCCACATGGCACCACTCTGGGCAGATCAGATCTGGCAGCTTCTTTGAAAGCACCATCTCCCTCACTCACACAGGCAGAACCTGGAGCAGAAGAGGGGACGCAGGGTCTATTTCCAGGAAAGCCCTGACCACATCTGGAGGCATCAGATTGGACCTCCTGCCTCTTCCGATTGCCTGACTTAAATCCCACCCAGCTCTGCAGGAATGTGGGCAAATAGAGGGTCTTTGGGGACGGCCCACCCCACACTTCAGTTGGTGGTGACTTAGAGGGAAAAGCTGTGCCCATTGATCTGATTCTCTCCTTAGCTAGTAGGTATTGATAAGAGGAGGGCAGCTTGGTGGTGCACCGCTAGGTGGATAGAGCACCAGGCTTGGAGTCCAAAAGACCTGAGTTCAAATCCAACTTCAGACATTTACTAGGTGAGTGATGCTTGGCAAGTCATTTAACCTCTATTTGCCTCTGTTTCCTCATCTATAAAATGGGAATAATAACAGCACCTACCTCTTAACATTATTATGAGGATCAAATGAAATCATATTGGTATGACCCCTTAGCACAGGACCTAGAACATAGTAGGCCCTTAATAATGCTTGTTTCTTTCCTCCTTTTTGGCCCCTACATTCCATAATTCTCTGACCTCTTTATTTCATCCTTACAGCGAGTTATGTTTCATGTTTAGTCATTTGTTGGGGTCTTTTTTCACTGACTTGTCATGACCCCATTTGGGGTTTTCTTGGCAAAGATGCAGGAGTGGTTTGCCATTCCTTCTCCAGCTCATTTTACAGATGAGGAAACTGAGGCAAACAGGGTGAAGTAACTTGAACAGGGTCACACTGGTAGTAAATGTCTAGGGCCAGATTTGAACTCAGGTCTTCCTGACTCCGGGCCCAATGCTTTATCCACTGCACTACCTAGTTGCCATTACAGCAAGTTATTTTCCCAAGTAACTTTTGAAATTGAAAAGCACGTCCTGGAATGGGCAGAGCACTGAGCTAGGAGTCAGGGAGCTGAATCATTGTCACTGCCCCACCATTGATGTTTGCTGAGACCAAACAGGAAGAAGTTATTTACCTTTAGTTTCCTATCCACTCAATCTGCCCCTCGAGAGGCCCTGAATGCTGCCATTGAATTATGATGGCCACACACTAGTAGCTGTTTCCAGTCATGAAAAAATGAACTGTTCCACCAGACGACCACCTTAGTATGTAACTGCAGCACCGTCACAGTGGAATTTCGCCAGGGACAGTCAGTCATAAGCCAGACGAGCACAGTCCATGTGATACTAGTTCCAGAGAAGTCCCATTTTCAGGCTTGAGCTTTGGGTTTTGGCAAGATGAATTCTAGAGGCTGCCTGTCCACTGTAAAGGGGATTGATGGCTGTGTTGTAGTTAACCCAGATCACTTAAACATCCTGCTTATCTATCACCTTTACTAACTTCTCTTTTGCTTAATCTTTAAATAGCCATATTTCTCTGTTTCTAATTGATTCAGTTAGTACGTCACAATTAGGAGGCTTCTCTACCTGCGTCCTGACCTTGTCCCCATCTGCACATTGAAGATCACTTAAACATCCTGCTGTTCACCTTTGCTAACTCTGACTTTTTTGCTTAATCTCAAAATAGCCCTGTTTCTCTGTTTCTAATTGAATCAGTTAGTACATCACAGTTAGGAGCCTTCTCTACCTGTGTCCTGACCTCGTGCCCATCTGCACATTTCTCGTGCTGCATCGTCCCCCGCCCTCTACAGTGGAACCATCAGCCTTATGCAGCAGACCTGGACCACTGTTTGTGAGGCTTCTTCAGTGAGGTTCTGTCATTTACTGTCACTCAGTGTACCTTGGAGCTGAAAGGGACCTTACAAATCCCCTAGACCAGGGACTCTTAACCTTTTTTGTGTCCTGAAGCCCTTGGACAGTGTGGTGAAGCCTCTAGACCTCTTCTTAGAATAATGTTCTCTTAAATGGATAACATAAAATATTGTTTTTATTATAAATTCAAAATTTATATATTTATTATTACAAAGCAAATTTGTTATATTGACATAAAAGTTAAAAAAATTTTTAAACAAGTTTATGACCCCAGGATAAGAATCCCTATGCTCATGAAACCCCTTCATCCTACAGAGGAAGAACTTGGGACTCAAGACAGGAAGGGATTTGCTTAGGGTCACATAATCAATCAATGGCCATCACGATTAGACCCTTGACTTGTCCAACTTCTAATCCCAGACCATTTTCTATGACAATTCATTGCTCTCATCACCCAGTATTCTTTCCCCAAATGGAGAGGGGGTAGAAAGGGGAAGGGGAGCAATTCTCCTGTTATATTTTGAAATACATCCTGAGAAAAGCCAATTCAAATCAATACACATTTATTAAGAGGCAGGCACTAAAGTGGACATTTGGGCTACAATGGCAAAACAAAGATAATCCCTGCCCTCAAGAAGCTTACATTCCAAAAGTAGGAAATTACTTCAGTCATGTGAATGCATGAAGTTGCTATGTTTGTCACCAGGAAGTCCCCTTTTTAGCATAGAATAAAGGCCATTTCATGGACTTCTAGCCCCTTAATGAGCAGCACAGTGTTTCTCTTTGACTTAGATACCAGAAATGTGTTCCAGCTAAGTAAATCCCCACTTTGGGTACGTGGGCAGTCACATTCACAGATGCTTAGTCGCGCTGGGCAGTGTGTGTGGCTATCTATATCTTATGAGGACTCTGAGCCTACTGACGGGAGGCATTTTCACATTTTCTGTAGGCCCTATTCCTCTTAGAAAAAAAAATCCAGACCCACATATAGGTTAGCTCCTGCTAACCTAGGGCCAGCTCTGGGAGGATCTCTATCTGTCCTGACAACTGAAGAGAGGTGGTCCAGGTGAAAATTAAGGAGACAGCATGGTACAGTGGAAATAATACTGGCTCTGAGTTCAAATTCCGCCCCCAACATTAACTATTTGTATGACCTTGCATGAGTTATATCACCTCCCTGAGTCCCCATTTCCTCATTTTTAAGTGCTTAGCAGATAGTCACCACTTAAGAAGGTTGGACAAGATGGCAGCAAAAGTCTCTTCCTACAGTAGATCTGCGTTCCTATGATTCTCCAGAGGATATTTTGTTCCTATCCAGACAGTGTAATTGTAATGTCAGGTTTTGGGTTTTTTTTTTTTAACAACTCTCACTTGGGCTATCTACTTTGTTTAGATCTTCTATATAGCTAGTTATTTGCATGTTGTCTCCCCTGTTAGAATGTAAGCTCCTTGAGGGCAGGGGCTGGTTTTGCCTTTCCTTGAATCCCCATCACTTAGCACTTAGCCCCACAAACAGTGGTGAATAATGCTTGCTGAACTCCCATGCCCATGGTACAGCTACCTCCCCATGAAGGTTTTTGGGAGCCAGACCTTCCAGCGGTTTTCATCTAATGTGAACATGCTGGCTTAGGAGTTACACAGGACATCCTCAGCTTAAAACTGCAAGAAGATTTTGGGAACATCACATACAAGATCAAATCCTCTCCCTTAACACCACCAGCACCCCCTAAACCCTAGGTTGGTAGTGAAAGAACATTGGAAGACAGGACACCTAAGTTCTAGTCAATTTCTGCCCCAGATTCACTGTGTGGCTTCAGACAAGTCCCTTCACCTTCCTCATGCTCAGTGTCCTCATCCATGGAGTGGGAATAAGAAGCCCTATTCTTTCTCCTCTGTTGTGAGGCTGAAGGATAGTGTTAGAGAGTGGACCTGTGATGTCACTGGTATAGGGGACTCCCTCAAGCAGAGCAGTTTGGCATCTGGCCTGCAGTCTGCAGTCTTGGAATGTTGCCTGAGGCCCTGAGAAGATCAGTGTCCTGCCCAGGCTCACAAAGCCAGTGTGTGTCAGAGGAAGGGCTAGCTCCTAGGCTGGCCCTCTGTCCACCATGAAGTGAGATGAAAATTGGAAAGCACCCTGGTGCAATTAAGAGCTTAATATTTTCTTCTTGTATTCCTCATTTAAAAAAATTTTTTTTGAATGAGAGGGATAAGAAAACTATTAAGCCCCCACACATTTAAAGTGCTTGACAGTTTTGTTTTATTTTGTTTCAAATCATCTCTCAGCCTCCTGTTTGAGGGGGTGGCTGGCTGCCATCCCCGGAGGCAGCAAGAACTAATACCATCCCTCAGCCAGCTAGCTGGCAGAACTACGAATGCCCTTCCGGGCAGAATGTAGCACCTCCAGAGGCCCTGAGAAGAGCCAAATATAGTCTGCAGGTACTGGTTGTATTCCTGCCTGCAAATGGTTAATCCCCTCTATTTCCCCTGCCCTGCCCCCTTCACCTCCAGAGACAAACCTGCCTCTGCAGCCCCAGTCGGGTGTTTGTCCCAGATGGTGACCGGTGCGTCTAGAGCAAATGTGCCCATTTCCTCCTGGCAATAAAAGAAAGAAAACAAAGGTTGCTCCCTCCCTTTCCAAAGCCTTCTCTGCATTTTGCCTGGGAACATGTGGAAAAGGAATTCCCATCTCTTCCCAGCCACGGGCTTTCGGCTGGGGAGCCGTCCTCAAAGGAGCAGGCCTGTTAGGGGCAGGGGCCCCTGGCCATCTAAAGTCCCTGGGAAGGGAGCCTTCCACCTTCTAATCCTGCCGGGCTCAGTCATCTGGCCTTGGCCAAGGGTGAGGGTGGAAAAGGACCCCCGCTGTGGGGGGGGGGGAACCTTTTCTCATTTTTCGCATTTTCCTTACAGTAAAACCTCCTTCTCCCTCTGACACACTTGTATCTAAATTCCTTATTTCCTGCCAGTTTGTATTCCTATCAGTTGCCTGGTGATTTGCTCGTGCTGTGGATACTGGATTGGAGAGCTCCCCGTCCTTGGATGCTGTTCAAGGACACTTGTTCTTCGACCCCACTGTTTTGTCTCCCCCCTCTCACCTGGGCAAGGCCATCGTACCCCTGAGGCCACACCCACTCCCCATCTTGCCATTTCTGCTCACAGTCCTCATAAAATAAGGAGGGCTTATTTCAGGGACCACTGCAGAATTCAGTAATAATAATAGCTTGTATTTCTATAGTATTTTACGGCTTATAAGGGGCTTTCCTAACAATAACCTCAGTATTTTCATCTGAAAAACAGGAATAATTAGCACCGGCCTCGCCAAATGAGATAATATTTATAAAGTGCTTTATGTACCTCCAAGCACTATTTAAATGTATCTTTTATTATTATCATTATAACCTCATAAAATCCGTGACTTTGAATAGTAAAAATCAGTATTTTACTGATGAGGAATCTGAGGCTCAGAGAGAAGTTACTTGTCCCAGGACACCTAGCTAGTAAATGTCAAGAGCCCAAACTAGAATTCTGGCCTCCTGACTCCAGGCTTCTTCCCACTGCAGCTCATGCACAGCTGAAGCAACATTTCCATATTCCCCGGCTTTGGCCTGCCCTGGAGCAGGAAATCTGTTTTATTAAGGAGGAGTAAAAATACTAATAAGCTCCATTACCAAGTAAAGTTCGCACCTCTAGCACCCCACAGATTAGTCCTTGGGAAGTTCTCTGTTCAGAGGCCTTGTCTCACGGAAAGGTGCATAGGCTAGGGTAGCTGCTTTAAAAGATTGCTCTTTGAAGTCACAGATACAACGCTCAATAGTTCTACCCTGTGACTGCAAAAGGCTGGTAGTTAGTCAATAAGCATTTATTAAGCACCTATTATGACCCAGGCACCAAAAGGCAGTCAGTCAACATATATTAAGCACCTACTGTATGTTAGGCACCAAGAGACCTGGGGGGAGTGGTCAACACATATTCATGTAGCACCTGTGTACTATGTGCCAGGAACTATGCTAAGCTCTGGGCATGCAAAGAAAAGGGAAAAAATCCCTGCCCTCTAATGGCAGAAACAGTATGCAAACAACTGTGTAAAAACAAAAAAGCCATGTACAAATTGGAGATGATCAGCAGAGGAAAAGTACTAGTACTAAAGGGGATTGGGAAAAGCTTCCTGCAGAAGGTGTGACTTTAGCTGGAACTTACCTGGTAGGACTGAAGAGTTGGAAGGGTTTGGAAGGATCGTCTCAGACTCCTAGATACTATGAGTAGCAGAGCCCCAGTGTTACTTACCCTCGGTGAGGGTCCCTTAATGATCCATCACCTCCAGGTCTAGAGTGCGTTACAGTTGACAAACGCTGTCCTCACAACTGACGGTGAGGCGGGCCCTGCAGAGATGATTGCTGCCATTTTGCACTTCTAGAAACCCACTTGTTTCTAGAACAAGTGGGCAAATTGAAATACCCACAGAAGCCCACAATGGTGAGAAGGAAAGCAAGTGGCTCTCCCTGGGTCACAAGGCTAGTGAGAGGCAGACCCTAAACTGGGACCCAGCCCTCTGATTCTAAGGCCTGGGATCTTCCCAGCACACAGCCTTGCCCCTGCTTCTTCGGCTAGGACCTACACTAAGGAGACAGCAGGGAGACTTGGCCTGGGAATAAACTAGTTAGATTACTCAGCTAGACTAAACTACTACTACTAGAATCTAACTCCTAAAGTAGAAACATTGCTTCTGACACTGTAGGAAGACATTTTGTTTGTTTCAAAATTGATATGAAAAAAAGGGATTTAGGTCTGCGCTTAGTTAACCAGAAAATTAAATTGACCCGGAACCCTTATTACCTTGATTAATCAAAGCTAGACTGTCCTCGTGTGAGCCAGAGGCAGCAGCAGCAGGAGCCAGTTACCATGGGGTAGAGTCATCGATCTCCAGCTGGAAGGGACCTCAGAGGCGGGCTAGTCCAAGCCTCCCATTTCCCAGACTAGGAAATCGAGGTCCGGGACATTAGAGTGACTTGGCCAAAATCCCTCAAGCCATAAATGTAGTGACTTCTCTCTGGACCCACTCTCCCAGAGCCAGGCAGGATCCATGGCCCCTTTGAGGTTCTGGGGCCCCTTGAGAGGTTTGGGGTTACCACTGCCTCAAGTCCTCATGGGCAAGCTCCTCGGTTCCATTGAAACATCAAACATCAATTACATGGTTTGGGGCTTTTTTTTTTTTGGTGAGGCAATAGGGTTAAGTGAATTGCCCAGGATCACACAGCTAGTAAGCATCAAGTGTCTGAGGCAGGATTTGAACTCAGGTCCTCCTGACTCAACTGCGCCACCTAGCTGCCCCCATCAATTACCTCTTACAAAGAGATATTTACTTCAAAGACATAACAGGAAGAAAAGTACAAATAATCACCCCCACCCAATACTTCAGTCATATTTTTCCCTATCTTACCTTGGTTCCTGTGGAGAGTGAGCTCAAACTTCAATCAGTTTCTATACAGCACTGATCTCACCAAGTTCATGTCCAAATTTGGCATGACTTCTATATGAGGCCTGTCTCAGTCTCTCCTAGAGGTCATGCCTCCCTTCTCTGGGCACCGGCACTGAACTGGCTGCAAAAATCCAGATACTGGGACACCTGGGTGCCCCTCTTCCTTGACCTAAAATGAAAGAACAAATACCAGGGCAGGCAAAGAACCCAGGCCTAAGTATCAGAAGTGGGATTTGAACCCAGGTCCTCTGACCCCAGACCTAGTGCCCTTTCTATCATACCACACAACCTCTCCTAGAGATGCCTTGCCATGGACCTCCCTCTGGCTTGTAAGGTTTCTTCAAGCTCTAACTCTTTGATCTTATGATCTCCAAGGGCTTTTCCAGCTCTGACATCGTGTGGTTTTCTCCACAGATAGACCCATTTCAGCTAGTTTTTCCCTCAGTTGATTGTCACAGATTCACTCAGATGGTCCGTGCTTCACCATAAGGGAAACACTGGCAGTGTTAGAGCAGGAGCTGGATGACCCCCTGTCAGAGAAGCGGGAGGGAGGACTCTACCAGAAATAGGAAGCCAGCCAAGAGATCTGTAAGGGCCTTTCCAGTACTTCACACTCCAATCATAGGAGAGCATCTCTTCTGGGTGGCACCGTTTTATCCCCTCACTGACCCAATGAGCAGCACATCTTTGAAGAAGAAATTAAGACAGACTATTAAAGTCAGGAAAAACAGCAACTTTGGGAGGTGGGAGGGAAAGAGAGCCAGCTGGGAGGTGCACCACAGGGCATGTTCGTTGGGCCCGTCAGCGAGGGTTAGGGTAATTGTCTTCTCTAATTAGCTGGTTATCAAACATGAACATTTCATTACGGCATAATGTCTCTGCTGTTTTGCTGAGACAGGAGGTGTCAGGATTATGACTCTAACACATGCTTCTTAGAGCTCGGATATCTATCTTTATTCACAATCACTCACCATGTTAGCGGCTCCCCCACCCCACACCATAGTTAATGACACCAACTGCTTACAAATAAGGAAAGAGAATCAGCAGTCATGCATGGCAGACTTCTCTTTAGGGAAGTACACTCTTGCACACTCAGATAGATATGCACACATGAACATGCAGATACACACAAATGCACGCCCAAATACACTCATGTGAACACATAGGGTCATAGGTTTAGATCTGGAACAGGCCATGAAATCATTTAACGTTAGTCTCTAAGACTGTAAGTTACAGATGAATCTCTGATCACCATGATGGAAGGAGTTTCCATGCTTCCATGTTCCCCCACACTGATAGTCTCTGACTCAGACTCCCACCCAAAAAAAGGGGTGGGGGTTTTTTTCTACATACACATACACATAAGCACAGATGCATATACTCACCTCACTAATGTAGTAGAAAAAGCATTGAATTTAAAGTCATAGGACCTGAATTCAAATCTTGGCTCTTCCACTTACTGCAATCACTTAACCTCTCTGGGCCTCAGTTTCCTCATCTATAAAATGAGGGGGTTGGGTGAGATAGCCTCTAAGGGCTCTTCTCCCTCTAAATCTATGATCATACTCTTCTGTGATGGGTATGTATGTGTATATCTCACACACACCTGAACAGACATAAGTAGAAAATGTTTTGTTTGTCTTTAAGTCCTTCTAATACTTTGGAAATTGGAATCACTAAGAGAAAGTGTTATTTATTTGGAAAGAAAACTGTTCTGTCAATATTTAAACAAAAACTTGGAAAGGGCCCGGGTACTGGCTGTCATCTGTAGCACCAAAGCTTCTCTGCTAGGCTGTGTTAAGTTCTTACAGTACTCTCAAGGGTAACGACAATGACGTTTCCATTTGCTTGGCACTCTATAGTTTACAAAACAATTAGCACCCCAATTTTTAAAGACATAATTATCCTAATATAGCATCATTAATAACTGATGTTGCTGCAGCTCTTTAAAGTTTGGAAAGCATTTAATATATGTTTTCTAACTCAAGCTTCACAGCAACCCTTTGAGCTAGGTAGTACAGGTTTCACTCCCATTTTACAGATGAAGAAGCTGAGGGCCAAAGAGAGGAAGTGATTTGTGGCCACAGCTAATAGGGAGCACAGCTAGGAAACAG